TTCAAAGACGTTATCACGTCAAAAAGGAAAATAGAAAGTTCTAAAATGTACAAAAATAAATTTCATAATGAAATGATGAGATCTAAAATTATCGCTAGTATTCATTTAAATTAAACTATAACTGCACATAAACACATCTCCAGCTGAAAAGTAACCGAAACGTCAGGAGTATGAAGTTTTTACAAACAATATGCGTAATATATTCCTAAAAATAGTAGTTTCATCATAATGAAATACTGAAATTGAAATATAACATAGCCAATGCTATTTCCAGTACCTAAAGAAATACACAAGTTTGAAATTATCCAATACCTGTTACAAAAGCCAATATCTTTTCTTATTGCATACTAGAGACAATAAAAGCCAATAGATTCTCTAAAATATTAAATAATCTTGCTTTATAACAAAAATATGTTATAGCAATATTACAAACTATATTTGAATGCAATTGATATGATTATTTTTGAATAGAAAGCTATTTTAACAGGAAATAGGATATTAATCATATTAAATTGATAAATTTTCATATATCGAGTGACGTTGCTGACTCCACGGAACGAAAACCAAACCGTGTGAACCAGAAGATTCCTGATACCACGCAAGCTATGGAATGACATTGCTATCCTAACGTCGGGGCAATCATGTAGTCTTAGGTATAGATTATAAGTTTTTATATGTAATTCTTATAATAATATACATATACGTAAGTTTCGTAGTTTTCCTGGAACCTTTAGTTGCCACCCTATATCATTTGTTTATTAATATGTAGGTTAACGTAAATATTTTGGTGATATACATCTATTATATACATTTCATTTAACTTTTCGATATCCATTGTATAATAGTATTAAACAATTTACGCGACCTGTTTATGATCATGAGTTTGCATATTTGCGGCTCATATGTGGGAAATAGTGATTAAAAACTAATTTCAGTAATCTGTGTAAAATAAAAATACATATAATAAAAACGATATTAATAAAAACAATGAAAAAAATCATAATCAGAAAGTGTATTTATTTTACGATACGTAATTGTGGTTATATTTTTAAAATAAAAGAAGAAGAAGAAGAAGATTACATAGGTACATACTAATCTAAAAAACATGCAATTTTACATGTGACGTAAATAAAGTAAGGTAAATTAGATTTTGAAACAAATGTATGTTGCAAACCTAAGTATTACATAATACTGAATACAAGTGAGGAATAATTGGTCTATCTGTACATTATACATATTAATAAGCCACATATACATACTTACATCGGTAGGTTTCGCTAATAAAATAAACTTTCAGGTAAGGTTTTTAATATTCATGGAGCGCCCGGTCCTTGTAAATGTTTTATTCGTTAACGAGTAGGGATTAGCGTAATCATGTCACGTCGTGTGTAACGCAGCCTTTTCAATTAATTTGAATAATCAATTATATTTCGCCGTGATGTGTTGGAAATTTTTATTGTCATATTTCTGCAATATAATTTTATATCGATAAGTCTCTGCTGTCTTTACATATTATCTTATTCAAAATTATGGACAAAATAAAAATTAATTCTGATAAAATTATCTATGTAAAAACCATAAACAATATATTTGAAAATGAAAAGCGTTGAAATATTGTTCAAAAGGAGCTATTTCGACAATTTCTAAGACATAAGCAATATAATTTCACAATCTTCATTACCGTCTTTCAGTGACAAAGCAATCCGTTTATCTAATTTGTATTATTCCGCTTAAGGCTCTATGGGGTACATGGATTATCTGTAACAGACGTCTGAGCAGTGCCGTCGACGTAGGCTCAAATGTTCATTATATTTATTAGATATAATTCGTTGCAGACAGCCTGAGACTCGGAGATAGAATGGATTCGTAATGCAACAACGAACATTCGATCGCCTTGCTTATTAGCCACGCTTATTAACTCACGGAAGAATTATCCCTATTATGTATTTATGCATGACGCGTAAATCTTCACTCCGAGACAATATAATCACAAATTAATACCGAGGACAGTATGAGAGAATTGCTTTTCAATGAAAATAGCGTTTTATAAGAAATGCACATTTTTTATTTAATAGGATAGCAACTTAAATCCTGTGGTAGATACATCATGTTTTCATGTTTCGAATTTCCTGACGTTTTTTCATTGTTGTTCATCAATCGAGAGAGGTCGTTTTTGGTTTACTACAATCTGCTTTTCATGCAAAAATATATCTTAACCTTGCGCCTTTCACTTTCAATCGGAATAATAAATAGTACATGCTAACTCTACTTCTATTTTCATATACTCAAACCTCTAAATGTCCTAAATCTGTTCATATCTATACTCCATGTTGTAACTAATGAATTTCCAACTCTTCCACCTGTTTCTTGGCTGTTTTTTTTTATTCTAAGCAGAATTAAAATCATTGTTAATTTAATTTTTTGAGTCTATTCTCTATGGTTTTTAGGGTGATAAAACCTGGTTGATTAATAATTATTACTGAAAACTAAACTTTCATACATATACTTGAGTCGTGAAAAATTTGATTGGTATCAAATTAACTAAAGAGTGCATATTATATTTCTATTTGTATTGACTTCAAGAATTGTATATCATCATTATTGTCAAAATAAGTTGTATTAATAATAATCAATTAACGCATTCATTAAGTCACCCCGCCTTGAGAATTGTATTGGGTTACTTGTAAAGGCTCTCTCTTGTAAGTCATAATCCGATTTGACCTGTACTATGACAACCAGATGTTAAACTTCTTACTTTATAGAAATAATTTTTATGATAGAACAATGAGAGCTTCATAAATAATTCTAGTTGGCAACAGTTTTTGGCTTGTGTGGTGAAATGCTGAAATATTAATAATAGTGTTCATTTGTTTTAATTTTTTTTATGTTCTTAACCTTTCCTTATTTTTGAAGAAAATAGTTTTAGTTATGAAATATTTTAGGATATTTTTATGTAGTCTAATTGATTCTGAAAAAAATATCACTGGAAAATTGATCGAAAGTTGTTCACATTTGTGTAATTGTCTGAAATTAAAGACCTACTACTTTGAAATACATTACTTAATGGCGGGAAATGATAATAAACTTCAAAGTGAAAACAATTGGGAGAAAATGAGATCAGACCACATTAAAGCAAAATTAATTGTATATAGATGTTATTAAGGAAGTTCTTTTATACCTGTAATGTCTTTCTTTAGTCGTACTTTTTCTGTATATTCCGTAAAAAATCTTTTTTATTTCAAAACTTAAAATTTAGCTCTGTGAAATGTTTTAATAACAAAAACTCTGTACATGCAATATTTATCTCAATTTAGAAACTAGAAATATGTGGTTTTGGTTTAACAAAAATATTATTTTCGTTTTGGTTGCATTTATACTGATCATAAATTAAACATGTCAAAGAGTCTTAAATTTGTACAAAAATATAGCAAATTTGAGCAGATGAAAAATTTTGTTTATGAGAGCTTTCAGCGGAATATTTCAACTATGATACTAAATCTAAAACATACGACTTGATGTTTAAAGTATGTGATGGAAAACGAAATATAAAATACCAAAAAGAAAATGTAGTATTTATGTGGTTTGCATTTTTTGGACCATTTTTGATTAAGATAACTCTCGAAAATAAAAGAAAATATTCAATGTTAGTATTATTTATAGCTTCCATAAAATAAAAGCGGTCCAAGTGGTGGTTGGAAGCGAGTCATTTGCTTATGACTGATGGCCAGTTGTGTCTATGACTTCAATGTACGCTCAACCGCCTCGGAGTTATGATGCTTTCAAATATATACACTGCATACCTTAAATAACTTTGAAGATGATGTTTGTGGATATATGTATTCTCATACATTTGAAAACTTATTTTACATATATATGACACACAAAATATGTAGGTATTAAATGGAAAATCAATGTACTTTTACTAATGAAAATACGATACATTTTACTAATTTGTCTTTGTTATTTTGAATGATATTTTTAATAAACAATGTAGCATAAAAATTACAAAGGCAGGATTAAAACTGTCTGTTTTTGGAATATCTTATATGCTTATTAACGTGTCGCGCCATTACTCTAATAGAGAAATTTTTGTTGAACTTATTTAACTTTTTTAACTTGCTACGGCCCGTGACTCCGTCAACGTGAACATCAGAATTGTTCTCTACCATATAACCCGAAATGCACTTCATGGTTCCAACCGTAGTATTGAGTCGGGATTGAAGTCGGGATCGTGATGAAAGGTACCCTTAGTTTTTTTCCAGGAATCCATCTATCTCAATATCAAAATTCATCAAAATCGGTTAAATGGTTTAGGCGTGAAATATAGCAGAGAGATAGATAAACATACAACGTGACATTCACATTTATAATATTAGTAGGGTTAATTTAACGTTCTTAATTTGAGACTATCAAATTAAACCATATTTTTTTTAATTTAACGTAATAAAGAATCACATTTTAAACATATAAGCAATTATCTAATGAATCTTTCCATTAGCAAGTAGTTTAAACGAATCAAAGCAAACAAAATCCCCTCTCAGCTTCACTCATTCGGACGTGGCCCTCATTTATTAAAATATCCAAACCATCTGCTACCCGCTGAGATTTGTCATTTCACACGACAGTACTTTAGTTTAGTGTCAGATATTAATTATTTCAAATTCCTGTTCCATTGTATCTTATTTTGGCACAATTTATTGCGCCACTGCCCCAAATAAACCGTGTTGAAGTTTTACGTAATCAGCAGTATCATTATTATCTTTATTTTATTAGAAATGGTCATTATATTAAAAGCTTTTTATGTGTATGATTTTCTTGATTACTTGTAAATTATTATTTCATTGTTACTATTCTATGAGTATTTATGTGATTACACTTCTGATTTTTTAAGTTTAAGTCCTGTATTTGATATATATGATAACAAAACCGTACTAGTTCGGTTGAATACTGCAAGAAAATATAAATCTTTTCTTTTCAGACGTCTCGTAAATCTCATGAGATCACAGCATCTTCATAAACGAGCGCTCATCATATCGCAGTATAAACGACGCATCCGTAACTACAAACTCTACGGATGGCCAATTGTCCCAGTTCATTGCCCCCTCGAGCCCAACGGCCTTTTTGTCTTGAATAGCGACTGTTCTCCTAATTTCAGGAGAATTTTTGTTGTTATCTTTATTATTCTTTGTTCTGCATGTTTGTGAACTTTAAAAAATTTATTGCGAACGTCGTGAATAAAAACTGTTCCGTTTATAAAACTGGATAGGAATATAAAATATCTAACAATAGAAAGTTTCTAGATTGGACAAAATGATATTTTTCATATAAAATTATTATCATCCGAGTAACCGTGTTTGAATCGCTATTGTGGAAAAAAAACATTAATACAAAAGTACCAATATTACTTCTGGTTATAAAATAATATTATAGGTACAAACGTTTTATTTTATCTTAGCATAACAAAAGTACTGGAGTTAGGATGGTTGCATAAAGGGGAAGTTAGACTAACAAGCAAAGGCAACTTACTCGTATATTTGCATCTTAACGTAATTTGAGGATGTAAATGGAACTGAAACATTTACACCGCGTACAGCCCCCGGGTCGGGATAGTGTCGGCCGAGCCAGGGATGTGTTTGGAATGCGTTAAATACGGGATCCGAAACTGTTGTTTGTTTTCCAAAATAGACGAAGTTCATTGGATCAGTCTGAACCAAATAACAAGCTTGCAACCTAAGCATAATTCCTTGATAGCTTGATATTAGGTACCTGAACGGTCAACATTATTAAAATTTCGATTCCCCGCCCATTTCATAAAAGTTACTTCATATGTTTAAGTAAAACTCTATCTTATTTAATAAAAGTCTCTTCATATATTTAAGTAAAACTGTATTTTATATACTTGAATTTAATTAAATTTTTCCATAAATACCAAACCTTTAGATCACCCTTTAGATATCTTCCTTATACGATCTTGACGCTAAAAAGTTGCCAAAAAAAGGGTAAGCCCAACTTTACTCAAAATGATGTATCACACGCCAAGCTGGGGCGATCTAAGAAACAGACAAAGTCTAATTTATTTGGTCGACATTCACGTAATCGCAATGATGTTGACAAATAGACTAGCTATCGCGTCCCGCCTCTTCGTTGTTCGATCTTTTACAACGGATACACTGATACAATATTTCACTCGATTACAAAAACAGGAACAATACAATGGCCATAAATTAGTTTCGTACTGTGACATTCAATGGATTCGTTTCCGTGAAAACTCGGTAATGGAAATAACTTCACATTTATGATCGTTGATTTATGTAAAACGATTAAAAAAATCTGTTGTTTGCTAAAAAATATTCACACAGCAATAATATATTCAGCAAGGACTAAATTGTTACCAATAACATGATGAAAAATAACAAATTACATTTTTTCCCATCAACGCCTATATAACTATATTTGTTATTGTATATAATAATCAGATTTAAGACTCTATTGATAAAAATATCCAATTTTTAAACAAGTCTATATACAAATTCCTTAAAGAAAACTGCGAACGAACGGCAGTCCTAAACAATGTACAAAATTGTATTGTAAACCAAACAGTTATTCGAGCAGCGACACGGCATTTCCATTAAAGGCGATACGGTAAGTTTTTCTCGAGCTATTCTGATTTTCAACAATCTCATCAAATCACAGACGGCAGCAAAGGGAACCTGATTGAATTGAAAGCCCGCTACCTGCTCGATATTTCTTTTCCGGTTACCCAAATCGAAATTTTATCCAATGTTAAATGTGCTTTAATCTGATTGAATTTACGACTAAGATAAATTGTTTGCATAAGCTTTTAGCCTTACTTTTTGTTTGCTGATAATTTATTGACAAATAATGACGCTGAATTAATTCAGTTTTTCATTGGCTATATTAGCCTATTTAAAGTCATAACCTTATTGTGATAAGATTGGGACAATAGAGCTACTTTCAAAAATTCGGAGAAAACAAATACAAGACTGAAAAACTTCATACACCAACAAGAAAAGAATAACTAGCAAGAGTAAAAAGTTTTGTTTCAATTAGGAGATTGAAAGATCGCAACAGGAGATACACTACAACATGTAAAAGGAAATAATATAAGGAGTTACAGTAAAAAGTTAATAATGCTTGAAATTTAAATCAAATAACAATAAAATTACTTAATGCCTTTTCGCAAAATAGACATCAAACGGCGATATTGAATCGATAGTTTTTCTAACCCGCTCGCGTCGCGGCTAACTTCTCATAAGAAATGCATACCCTACCACTTTATTTATTTACATGGGGTTAGTTCGATAAATCCGAGACTTCCTATCGCAAGGGGAACTTTTATTGAACTTTATATTAAGTATACACCCAAAGATCAATATACAGCGGACGAGAGGTTTCCTTGCATGAAACGATACATTGTCACTGAAGGTACTATTTTCTTACAATTTGTTTTTTTAATGTCACAGAGAACCATACCCAGGCGGTTTGTAGAAAAGGCTTATTCTATGGATCAAAATAAAGAATAAATGGAAAGTTACAACAACATTTTAATTAAAGAAAAAGAAAAAAACAGGACTTCCGACGTACACTAACATCAGTTAAATGGAACTGCAATAGATATATTGCGAATTTTCTCGAGCGTGATAATTAATTAAACAATATTTCCTGATAAAACTGTAAATCTCAACATATTTTTTATTGGATACGATTCATAAAAATGGTTAGTAATAATAATAAATAAATTTTCTATATATACATAATCTTGAGAGTCTCAAACATATGTAGAAATATATTTTCATAATTCAATCTACTAAATAATTATATAACAATAATAAAAGACCGCGACTTCGCATTTCAATAACGTAACAATTAAGTCTGCAATCGAAGTGACATAATCACTCTAATAATATACATAAAATGCTATTCACAATAGTTACAATCGGAAAGGTATAATTAACGAGACGCCACGCAAGAGACGTGAACTATTTGTCATGGAACAGCCCACTACTATGATACATAACTCATGTACTGTGCAGGCGATATTTTTGCGTGTAATGGAAATATAGTGTACGATGCCACATATAGAATTCCACCTGGGTCATTCTACACTTGCTTTGGACATTTACGTTTGATAAATATAAATGTTTCTAAAAATAGTGCAACTATTATACAACTTCATTTCATCTAAAATATTTATTACATGACATTATAAAAATATGTCCTTATAATTTCCTCCAATTTTTTCCGTGTGGTTTAAAAATTGGACTCACACATGCACAAAGTGTGTTAAAACCCTCATTTATGTTATCCAATCCTCAGCGTAATTTGTAATTTGTGTGAAGTAACTTCAAACTATATCAATTAGATAAATTTTGTAAGAAAAATGCAAAAATCTATACACCTATATATCCATGCCTCTAGGTTTCCATAGGTCCATACAAGCAAGCAGCCCTGTATTCTCACAAACATTATCATTTTAATATAAGTAAGATTTTTAACCCGACGTTTTCAGCTTGTGACATGTACATATAATGCAATATAATAAATACTAAATTAAATAAGGAATAGTTACTAAAGATAACAAAACATCATATTGCAAATATATCTTTTAAATCAAAAAAGACATTTTAAATAAATAATAGAAGGAAAGTATGGACTCAGATAATCTTTCTCATTCAACTACTTATATTTGCGACCTTCATAAGAATGGAAAAATATCTTATATATCTTTTAAATCAAAAAAGGCATTTTAAATAAATAATAGAATGAAAGTATGGGCTCAGATAATCTTTCTCATTCAACTACTTATATTTGCAACCTTCATAAGAATGGAAAAATATCTTATATATCTTTTAAATCAAAAAAGGCATTTTAAATAAATAATAGAAGGAAAGTATGGGCTCAGATAATCTTTCTCATTCAACTACTTATATTTGCAACTTTCATAAGAATGGAAAAATATCTTATATATCTTTTAAATCAAAAAAGGCATTTTAAATAAATAATAGAAGGAAAGTATGGGCTCAGATAATCTTTCTCATTCAACTACTTATATTTGCAACCTTCATAAGAATGGAAGAATATCTTAAATAATAAGAAAATCTCATTAACGTACATTATGAGTAACACACCTCCTGGCCCATTACTTGGAAGTTATAAATGGTTTTGATGTCAGTTTTGTCCATCAAGTTCACTGACGTGGACAGCCCGCAATGACCTAAAGTACTATTAGTTTCATTTACTGACATTCATTTAGAAACTAGACTAAATGTAATATGTGAAATTATAATCGGCATATCGTATAAATTGACACTTTTAATCATCCTAAAATATTAGTATTAACATTTTGATTCAAATAATATATCTATTAAATATTAATTGAGCATAATTCATGAATTTCACAGTACTCGTGTATTAACATTATTATTGAAAACATCAAATATTAAATTCTATGAGATCCTAATTTTACAATTATTTAACATCATACTGTTATTTTGCGTATTAAAAACCAATTTACACTGAAAACAGATAAGTGCAAGCATTGACATAGTAATTAGCCCTGCCTCGGTATCCACATTGACAATTCTAATTTGCTGTTGGCTTTTATGTTTCATATGTACAAATATTAATCAGTAATATTTGTCAATTTACAAATAGTAATCGTAGTCAGTGGTGGCCCAGTGGTTAAAGGGTCCGCCTCTCGTTGCCGAGGGCGCGGGTTCAAACCTGGCAAGTACCAATGTGACTTTTCGGAGTCATATGTACTTTCTGAGAGTATTTAGACACCACTGACTTACGGTGAAGGAAAACATCGTGAGGAAACCTGGACTTATAGTTTCACAATTATAAGTTTGAAATCACCAATCCGTCTTGAGCAAGCGTGGTGATTAATGCTCAAACCTTCTCCATGTGAGAAAGAGGCCTTGCTCAGCAGTGGGCGCTGATAGGCTGATGATGATGATCTAAACGGTATTAATTAATATATCATTCTATAACAAACTTATACAAGTCATATACATTCTAGAATCTATCATAAAAAAATGAACAAAACCACGAGGCACAACAATGAAATACTGTTAGGAATAATCAACAATACACTATTTTTTATCACACGATATATGTGGACTTACAGATTAATTGTCCTCCTTTATCATAAATGCATGTATTATGGTTATTACAAAAATAAATCCACGTACATTTTACACTCGCCGATGTAAACAAAGGCTAAAAGCCAAAGCCGCACCAGTATTAAGCCCATTATGAGTACACCGCAACAATCGAACAGTATAATGCAAGCGTCCGATGGAGATTCGTCCCATCAGGTTCATTCATTCAACAAGCCTGTTACACTCGCAATTGATGGCGTTCCCGTACATCGCTTCTACCGTGTTACTTCTACTCCACCCTTAATTACATTTGTAATTACAGGGTACATTTAAATTAACTCAATCACAGTATAATATGATAATTGCTCTAAGCTATTCAAATATTTTCTTGCAAGGACAACTTAATGTACCATAATACCATATAATAGTCTGGACTCCAAAACAGATCTGTCTCGTATTGTTTCAAAATGGAAGTACGACTCTCGGGTAGTCCCCTGGTTTAAGGTATTTTATGTTCACTTTAATTAAATAGACGTAAACTAAACTATAAATTAACTCTTAAACGTTCTTAC